TCTTTAAACACACACACACACACACACACACACTCTCTCTCTCTCTCTCTCTCTCTCTCTCTCTCTCTCTCTCTCTAGATATGTTCTCCATTGTAACTAATTAGGTAAGGCTCCTTATTCAAAACTGAAGGTATTTATAGAAGTGAGCCAAGATTCCTCCATGCTGCCTCCTAACAAAGGCTTTAAGTCATTCAACAGACGTTGTTCAGTGTCTTCAGTGTGCCAAGTGCTGATTCACAAAGGTGAAAAGACACAGGTCTTGGCCAGAAGGAGTGCAAAGTCCATTAGGGAGATGTGAGAGAAACCTTAAGACAATATATAGTGCTCAATAGATGTGAGCTACAATGGAAGTAGGTCCCAAATCCAAGCAACCAATGAGCAGGAAACTTAGGTCTGCCTGGGGCAGGCAAGGAAGGCTTCTTGGAAGAGGCAGCAAGTGAGCTGGGGCTTAAAGAATGACTGGGGTGGAGAGGGATTGGTATTTTGGGGGAGATTGGATGAGAGACAGGGTAAGGCATGGGGACAGGMGCCAGAGCACTGTAGGCTCTAGGGATTTTTTTATGTTATCTTCTGATGACTGAGAAGGGCTTAAAGATTTGGGGCCTTGCACATGCTAAGCAAGTGCTCTATTACTGAGTTATACCTCCAGCTCTAAAGAATTTTACAGGGGATCTCATTTGCATGTTAGAAAGAATGAGCAGAAGGAAGGAAAGCTCAGACTAGGGGGACCACCAGGAAGTATTGCAATAGTCCAAGCAAGAGCTGTTGTCTGTCCTAGGAGTATAAGGCATCTGGAGAAGATGAAGGATAGGGGTGGGATGGAGGAGGGTRTAGCCTGTTCTGAGCTAGAGCAGAGCAACAGTCTTCTGACCCATAGAAAAATATGAAAGCTATGGATTCTCCCTCAGAATAAAGCACGTGTGCATAGGCACATGATGTTTTGCACATAATTATAGGGGACTTATGTTCCCCAAAGCCTCAGGTTAAGAACTCAGTTCCTTGGAATTCTAAGAAGCAAAATGACATAGTAGTTAAGTTTGTGGATCCTGAAGTCAGACTCCCTGGTTTATAATCTCAGTGTTTTAGTCAGCTTTTTTTTTTTTTTTTTTTTTTTTTTTGCTGCTTTGAGTAAATGACCCTACCAGCACAACTGTAGAGGAGGAAGAGTTTATTTGAGG